GTTGTCATTGTTGTTGTTGTCATTGTTGTTGTCATTGTTGTTGTTGTTGTTGTCGTTGTTGTTGTTGTTGTTGTTGTCGCTGTTGTTGTTGTTGTTGTTGTCGCTGTTGTTGTTGTTGTCGCTGTTGTTGTTGTTGCTGTTGTTGTTGTTGTCATTGTTGTTGTTGTTGTCATTGTTGTTGTCATTGTTGTTGTCGCTGTTGTTGTTGTCATGTTGTTGTTGTTGTTGTTGCTTTTGTTGTTGTTGTTGCTTTTGTTGTTGTTGTTGTTGCTTTTGCTGTTGTCGTTGTTGTCATTGTTGTTGTCGTCGTCGTTGTTGTCATTGTTGTTGTCGTTGCTTTTGTTGTTGTTGTCGTTTTTTTTGCTGTTGTTGTTGTCGTTGCTTTTGCTGTTGTTGTTGTCGTTGTGGTTCTTGTCATTGTTGTTGTTGTCATTGTTGTTGTTGTTGTTGTCCTTGTTGCTGTTGTTTTTGTTGTTGTTATTAATTTAATGATTTGTCACAATACAATCATTACACATACATCTACAATAAATAGAGGAGGACACAAGTGTGACTGAGGAAAGGAACGTGACTTGCATCCCACCATTGACACCTGACCCCAACATTATAACTACACTTGTTGTTCCCAATCCCAACGGGTTTCAAATTATTTTCTATTGTGTTCCCATACCATCTTTCATTTACGTTCCAGTATAAATTCCTCCATTCTAACTATTTTTGCCTGCAGAGCCTGTGGTGATTAAAACCCAGCCTGAATGCGTTATCCTGCGTGAAGGCAGCAGCCTGTGTTTAAGAGTCGAGGCACTTGGATACCCACCACCCAGTTACCAGTGGTATAAAGACGACGAAGAGATACCTGGGGAATTCCTTAATGAACTAAGAGTGGACAGGGTTTCAATGGCAACGGACGGCGCATATAAATGTATTGTTCACAATGAGGAAAATTCAGTGGTCTCGAATGAAGTTACAGTTCGGATAAGTAAAGGTAAAACAAGGATTCCTGAACGATGAAAGGGTGAGGGGAAATGCCCTTGTTAAAGTTTGTCGAGTTTCTCACTCACTGGTGAGCAGATGTCCCAACAGGCTATTGTGACAATTGATAGGGGATCCGAGGTACCTACGATTTAACGTCCTTATCCGAGAAGACGCGAAAGGCTAACCATTTACTGATGTCAATGTAAAAGACAGATGCCCATCTGCACCCCATTCTCTAGTTTTCGTGTCCCCGTGCCAAAGAGAAGTTTTAAATTATTTTTATTAACTGGATGAGCTCTCAAGACACTATAGGTTTTGACTTCAGGTTTTTATAATTACAGGTCCGTCCAAACCAGACAAGTCCTTACCAGGTAAGGCAAACTGTTCTTTGTATTGTACGAAGATTATACAATACGTATTATACTTACATCACTCCTGATGAAGACACTAGTGTTGAATCGTTGGATCGTGAATGTAATATGTTCATTGTGACTTTACATCACTCCTGATCAAGAGTGTTGAAACGTTGGATCGTGAATGTAATTTGTTCGTTGTGACTTTACATCACTCCTGATGAAGACACTTCGACTGGACTCATTGTGACTTTACAACATTCCAGATGAAGACACTAGACTGGAGTGTTGAAACGTTGGGTCGTGAATGTAATATGTTCATTGTAACTTTACATCACTCCTGATGAAGACACTAGACTGGAGTGTTGAAACGTTGGATCGTGAATGTAATATGTTCATTGTGACTTTACATCACTACTGATGAAGACACTAGACTGGAGTGTTGAAACGTTGGACCGTGAATGTAATATGTTCATTGTGACTTTACATCACTCCTGATGAAGACACTAGATTTGAGTCTTGAAACGTTGGGTCGTGAATGTAATATGTTCATTGTGACTTTACATCACGCCTGATGAAGACACTAGATTTGAGTCTTGAAACGTTGGGTCGTGAATGTACAAGCGACCTTTGGTTAACTAAACTGTATTCTTTTTCTTACAGTTGATGCAAAACCAGTGATCATCAATCATCCAATCTCGGCCAACGTGCTACCTGGTCAACATCACACCCTGCGTTGCCAAGCGACAGGACAGCAGCCGATGACTTACGTGTGGTATAAAGATGCTCAAGCATTACTGAACACCAACAGTTCTACTTTAGACTTTCCTGCTTTCGGTGAAGAACACATTGGTAGTTATTGCTGCCAAATATCAAACACATGTGGAGCGGAAGTGAGTCAAATGGCTGAGCTTGCTCTTGGTAAGATAGTTTGCTTTAGCCATTAACATGCAAGAATTATCCATTGACTATTAAAATGGCCTGGTGTAAGAGTCTCGTCGTCTTTAACAACACCACACAGTTAACCTAACATTATTATATTTTCTTTACAGATAGAATTGAATTTCCAAGAAATACTGGTGCGTTCGATTTTACATTGAAATTTTCTATTTGTATAAACCAAACTAACCCTTAATTACTACTGGATAGCCCTATCAGTTCTGAACTGTTCTTCCTAGAGGTCAAGTGAGAACCATCTCTCATTGCTTGAGTGTTACTATAGGAGGAAACCTAAACTAAACTTGCTTTATTTAATATTCTATCAGTTCTCAACTGTTCTATTTAGTAAGGATCATCTCTTATTGATCCAGTGTTACTACAGGTGGAAACCTAGACTAAACTTGCTTTATTTAATACTGCATACCTGTGGCTCTATTAGTTCGAAGTTGTTCTACCTAGAGGTCCAGTAAGGATAATCTCTTATTGACCCAGTGTTACTACCGTACTAACCGTAGGAAACCTAAACTAAACTAACTTTATTTATACTGGATAAGCCTATCATTTCTGAACTGTTCTTCCTAGAGGTCCAGTAAGGATCATCTCTTATTGATCCAGTGTTACTACAGGAGGCAACCTAAACTAAACTAACTTTATTTATACTGGATAACTCTATCAGTTCTGAACTGTTCTTCCTAGAGATCCAGTAAGGATCATCTCTTATTGAGCCAGTGTTACTACAGGAAGAAACCTAAACTAAACTGTCTAACTTTATTTATACTGGATAGCTCTATCAGTTCTAAACTGTTCTCCCTAGAAGTCCAGTAAGGATCATCTCTTATTGATCCAGTGTTACTACAGGAGGAAACCTAAACTAAACTGTCTAACTTTATTTATACTGGATAGCTCTATCAGTTCTACTGTTCTTCCTAGAGGTCCAGCAAGGATCATCTCTTATTGATCCAGTGTTACCACAGGAGGAAACCTAAACTAAACTAAACTAACTTTATTTATACTGGATAACTCTATCAGTTATGAACTGTTCTTCCTAGAGGTCCAGCAAGGATCATCTTTTATTGATCCAGTATTACTACAGGAGGAAACCTAAACTAAACTGTCTAACTTTATTTATACTGGATAGCTCTATCAGTTCTAAACTGTTCTTCCTAGAGGTCCAGCAAGGATCATCTCTTATTGATCCAGTGTTACCACAGGAGGAAACCTAAACTAAACTAAACTAACTTTATTTATACTGGATAACTCTATCAGTTATGAACTGTTCTTCCTAGAGGTCCAGCAAGGATCATCTCTTATTGATCCAGTATTACTACAGGAGGAAACCTAAACTAAACTGTCTAACTTTATTTATACTGGATAGCTCTATCAGTTCTAAACTGTTCTTCCTAGAGGTCCAGTAAGGATCATGTCTTATTGATCCAGTGTTACTACAGGAGGAAACCTAAACTAAACTAACTTTATTTATGCTGGATAGCTCTATCAGTTCTAAACTGTTCTTCCTAGAGGTCCAGTAAGGATCATCTCTTATTGATCCAGTATTACTACAGGAGGAAACCTAAACTAAACTGTCTAACTTTATTTATACTGGATAGCTTTAGCAGTTCTAAACTGTTCTCCCTTGAGGTCCAGTAAGGATCATCTCTTATTGATCCAGTGTTACCACAGGAGGAAACCTAAACTAAACTAACTTTATTTATACTGGATAACTCTTTCAGTTATGAACTGTTCTTCCTAGAGGTCCAGCAAGGATCATCTCTTATTGATCCAGTATTACTACAAGAGGAAACCTAAACTAAACTGTCTAACTTTATTTATACTGGATAGCTTTAGCAGTTCTAAACTGTTCTCCCTAGAGGTCCATCAAGGATCATCTCTCATTGC